TGTAAACCTAACATAATGTTTTGATCTTAAATGAGTTCGAGAATGCGTTGATAAATTTTCATCAAGTTTTCGTTAAATTGACATTGTTTTGGTTAAATTATGGTTTTTAATGGGTAGGTTAACAAGTCTTCTAGTATTAGAGACCAATATATACCTGGCATGATCTTTTTATTGAAAATTATATATATTGTTGAGTTGTGAAACTCTTGATTTAAGGTCAAATGCTAATTTGATGAACATCCATCGAGAATAAATAGCTTATGAGTAAGCTTAGAAATACTTTAGACAATTAATGACATTATAAAATAAATTTAAAAGAATACACATAGTCAAGATAATGTTTCTTTGTAAAGGATATGGTAAAGGGGATTTCTATCTTTCCTTAAAAATAGACAACCTCTTATTTATATTTCTAGATCCTATGCATATTTTAAATCCTTAGTTTCCTTAAAAAGTTGGTGGTTACTTCATTTTCCATATTCCCTTTAATTTTGAAGGCCAAATATTTATATTAGGTGTTATAGCCTTAAAGAATGTCTTCCTCACCTTTTAATCAAATTGTTTATGTTAAAGATAGAAAGATTAGTGATAACATTCTTTTTGCTCAAAATATTTTAAAGTTTTATTATAAAGATTCAATTCTTTGTAGTACATACTTAAGGTTAATCTTATAAAGGGCTATAACTTAATACAATGAAAATTTTTATTCAATGTCCTTAAAGTAATGAATCTTCCTAACCAATTCATTACTTGGATCAAATGTTAATTTACTATCACCAATTACTTTATTTCTATTATAACAACTTATGTGGTTATATTAAAGGCAAAAGAAAAGGCTTATATAAAGTGAACTTATTTTTTTTTACTTATTTATGATTCCTAGGAAAGTCTTCTCTTAATTTTTAAATGCATTAGTTGATTAAGGGAGAATTCCATATTATCAAAAAAAGAGAAAAATCTCAATAACCTATTTTTTCTTTGTTGATGATCTTATAATATATTCTAAAGGTTCCATGCAAGTTATTATAGTTATTAAGATTGTATTGCAAGAGTTTCACCCTTTATCAGGTATACAATGTAATTTTGTTAAAGTGAACTTATTTATGATACAACTACTAATAAATTATAGAATTCTTTCTAACACGTTTATAATTATTTTTGGTAGCATCCAATTAAATATCTAGAAATGCAACTTACTATTAAGGAATTGAGTAATGGTAACAACAAATTCTTTTTAAGAAAATAACTAGTAGATTACCGTAATGGACAACAAAAATCCTTTTTGTATAAAAGATGAAGACTTTGGCTTATTACTTTTATAATATTTATACTTAGAGTTAGTATACATCAGTTATCATTCTTCTTATTAAAGTCATCAAAATTGTAGAACTAAAATGCAATGCTTTTTTATTTTTATTTATTTATGAAAATGATAACGGTGTTTCTAGTCATGTAAGAAAAATTGTCTCTCTTCCAAAATGAAAACAAACAAAAAAAGAGGCTTGGGGATTAGAAATACGAGGAAATATAATATAGTTTGCATTATCATAAGTATTTGATGTCTAATCCTTCAAGTTCTTTTTGGATAGCTTAATGTTCTGTATATCTTCTTTGTGGTATGAGTATTTAGAGCATTATATAATTAGGGTTTTGAGTTAGATGACATTTTCATTTCTTTCCTTGTTTCTTTCCTTGTTGTCAAAAAGTTGAATAATAAAAATTTATTCCATATGATTGTTTATATAATTGGAAGTAGATTTAAGATTTAAAAGTTTTTTTGGTCAAATTATTATTATTATTATTAAAACAAAAGGAAAAAGATGAATTTATTGTTCATCTTTTCATATGTTCTAAAAAAGTTTATTTTAGTCAATAATAAAATTTACTAGAAAAGTTTTCTTTAGAAAAACACTTTTTGGATGGCTTAATGTTCTATGTATCTTTCTTGGGGTATGAGTAGTTGGAGCATTATATAATTAGGGTTTTGAATAAGACGACATTTTCATTTTTTTTCCTTGTTGTTAAAGAGTTGAATAATAAAAAAATTATTCTATATGATTGTTTATATAATTGGAAGTAGATTTAAGACTTAAAAGTTTTTTTTGGTCAAATTATTATTATTAAAACAAAAGGAGAAGATGAATTTATTGTTCACCTTTTCATAAAACACTATTTACTAGAAAAGTTTTTTATGGTTTTTTTAATTTAATTTAATATTTTATTCAATTTTATCATTTAATACTAAGTTTAATAGGGTTTAAGATTAATAATTGTTTTGAATTTTTTTTAATTAGGTTATCTCACTCTCATAATCCAGATTACGGGTTTGACAAGTTAACTAGGAGGACTTGAGGTTTTTTGTTATTTTTTTTTTAAATTTCATCTTTCAATATTAGGTTGAATGAGAATTGAGTTTCATGATTTATTTTGATTTTCTTTTTATGAGTTATTATGGTTTTATGACCTAAGTTATGATTAAAAAAAGATATTGTTTCGAGTGTTTTTCAGCAAGTTATATTTTTATTGGTTATATGAGTTATTTTTTAACTTACTAAACAATCAAATCATATTAGATAAATCCTCACATGGTTTAAAATCTTTTTCTACTTAGAAAACATGTTAATAATATTTAAATAATTTTTTTACTTAATTTTTTTTTACTCAACCTGTGGCATGCATGATATAAAGTAATAATCTAGTGCTCACACTATAAAGAGTGGTGAAAAAATATACTTATAAGTGGTTAAAAAATGTTTTTATGGTGGGATTAGGATCATGTATAACATTGGTATTATTATAAATGAAGTTTTTCGAAATTATTATCAATATCTTTCCATTGTTTATTAATAAACATACTTTATTAATCAAATTTACGAGTATAGGTGCTAAAATATAAATAAAAAATAAGTGTAAATATGAAATAAAAAAGCTTATTAAATACAAACATTTCATATATACTTATTCACATTAGCATATTTATAATGGAAAGTAACAAATATCATTGATGATTAAATTATATGAATGTAGAAATACGGGCTCAAAGCCCAATTATGAATCAAGAGCCCCATCGTTTCCAGTCCATAAATCCAGAAGTGCATTTTGGCTAGCCCAATAATAATAATAAACAAGAGAAACAGATCAAATTATCATTTAAAATAAATAAATAAATAAACACAAAAACCAGGCAGCACTGTCCTTCCTGTCATTACCACAAAAAGGGAGGAAAAACAAGACATTTTGATCTTTCAAGATTTGATTACAAGGAGAGCCTGCCCTCTGGTTCTTCTTCACCTTGTTCATCGTGGTCCTGAACTAACCACAAATATTTGGAATTATAATTGAAAAGGATCTATCCGGGTCTGAAAATGTACGGATTCGAGGCCATGACATTCAACATCCATGGAGGGTACTTGGAAGCCATCGTGAGGGGGCACAGATCAGGGCTTTTAACAGCATCTGATTACAACAATCTCTGCCAGTGTGAAACCCTTGATGATATCAAGATGCATCTCTCTGCTACCGAGTACGGTCCCTATCTTCAAAACGGTCAGTGCAGTCTTCTTGTTTTTATTGTGATCTATCTACTTCAATTTTGTAATTAGTTGAAGAGATCTGATGATTTTCTTTTATCTTGTGATTTTTATAATTCTAATTTTTTGTTGCAGAACCTTCTCCGTTGCATACCATTACTATTGTGGAGAAATGCACTCTGAAATTAGTTGATGAGTACAAGCACATGCTAACCCAAGCCACAGAGCCCTTATCCACCTTCTTGGAGTATTGCACGTATGTCAACACCCTTTGTTCCTTCTACTTATTTGGTTTCCTTGTCTCTTAAGATCTTTGAGTGTGTGTTTTTCCTCTATAGATAGATCCACCATGTGCTTTGAAATATGATATGAGGTTACTGTTGCATATTGCGTTTCAATAAAGAGTTTCGTGTAAGTATATATATATTTCGTTAAGGTTAGTCTTGAATCGATCAGCATAGTGTCTACTTTTTGCTACTTTCGTCAGCAGTACCCAACTTGCCTTCTAGGAAACAGGTGGGCACTGCATTAGGGCAATTCGTTGTGCATACTGTTAATTTAGGAGGTTGGTTTCATGTTTTTTAATTGTTCTAGAAATAGGCAGAGAAGGCTAACGCTTGTCGTTCTTCTGTTTTGACCAGATATGGTCACATGATAGACAATGTTGTCTTGATTGTAACCGGAACCTTGCATGAGAGAGATGTTCAGGAGCTATTGGAGAAGTGCCATCCTTTGGGCATGTTTGACAGGTTTGTTATCCTACGTTGTGCTGCCTTTTAGACTTGATTATTTATGGAACCTTTCGTGATTTCTATTTGTATTGCCCCCAGTATTGCCACCCTGGCTGTTGCTCAGAATATGCGAGAGCTTTACAGATTGGTGCTTGTTGACACACCCCTGGCACCATATTTCTCAGAGTGCATCACATCAGATGTATGTTACAGCATCCCTTGCTTGTCTCGCGTCTAATTTTCTTTTGATTCTCGCAGTTGTGATATTCACTTCTGCGCCAAATCTTTCATACATTGTTGTGTAGCATAAAATAGGCTTTTATGGCAACTTCAAATGATCGACAACTTGTTCATTCCTGTTTGTCAGTCACATATTATGCTACCATGTTGTTTTGTTGATGGGTGTGAGGACTTAGTGTGGGGAGAGAAATCAACTCAAAGCAACAAAGAACAGAAAATTGTTGGCTAAAACTATAAGAAAATTGAAGTTGGAACTAAATAGGCTTATGGTTTGCAATGAACCTCTCGAACTTATAATGATTGATTATTTAATATAAAACATGTCTGAATAATAACCTAGCAACCACATATATTCTAGTTCTAGGCCTAAATCCTAATCCTCATGGGAAAAAAAAAAAACCTAATTGAAAGTTATATAGCTAATATAGAATCCAACTAGCATTAGTATTCCTAAACTAAATAAAAAAAGTAAAATAACTAAGGAACTAACAAAGGAAATTTTTTTAATAATCCAGAAATCCCTGCATCAATCCCCTCGGATTGGAAAACTTGACTCAGGCGAGAAAACCTTCACGGATTCATCATGTAACTCAGGTTCAGCCTTCTTCAACCCTTCTTCAGCCATCCAAGTTCTCTCACTAGCTGGTTTACTGAACCACTTTACCAAAAATTGCTTGCACTGTCTACCTCATCTTGACTTGACCTCTTTGACATCCAAAATCTTTTTGATAACATCTTGTTGCACCTTTGGTAGTTGAAACATTTGCTCTGCAACTTCAGTTGCTTCTCCATCAAATCCCTCAAATGTTAATAGATCACATCCATTAAAGATTGGACTGATCTATAAATCAGGAGGCAGCTCTATAACGTAGGCATTGGAACTAATTTTCTTTAATAGTATACATGGCCCAAAATCTTTTCAGTAACATCTTGTTGCACTTTTTGTAGTTGAACCATTTGATCAGCAACTTCAGTAGCTTCTTCATCAAATCCGTCAAATGGAAATAGATAACAAACGTGAAAGATCAGACTGATCTGTAATTCAGACTGTAGCTCTATAAAATAGTCTCTGGAATTAATGTTCTTTAATGTTTTACATGGCCAAAAATCTTTTCTATAACATCTTGTTGCACCTTTGGTAGTTAAACCATTTTCTCTACAACTTCAGCTGCTTCTCCATCAAATACCTCAAATGGAAATAGATTACAAACATTATGGATTGGACTGAGCCGTAATTCAGACTGCAGCTCTATAAAATAGGCATTGGAACTAATTTTCGTTAATATTTTACCTGGCCCAAAATCTTTTCGATAACATCTTGTTGCACCTATGGTGGTTGAACCATTTTCTTTGCAACTTGAGCTGCTTCTCCATCAAATCCCTCAAATGGAAACAGATCACAAACATTAAATTTTTTACTGACCTGTTATTCAGATGGCAGCACTATAAAATAGACATTGGAACTATTTTTCTTTAATATTTTACATGTCCCAAACTTACCTGACTTGAGTTTATGATATTTTCCCGTAGGAAGCCTTTCTATCTTTAAATGTACAAGTACCAAATCTCCCTCTTCAAACTCTTTGATCTTGTGATGTTCATTTGCAGCAGTGGCATAGGATTGATTGCTAGCCTTTAAAGCTTTCCCTACATCTTCATGAACCCTTCTAATTTCATCCGAAAAAGCCACACTGTCATTCCTAAGTCTAGCTTCTGGAGGTAATGACACCAAATCAAGAACGTGTTGTGGCATGAGTCCACATGCTGCTTTGAATGGTGTCTACTTTATTGATCTATTAATTGAATTGATATGAGCAAATTCAGCTTGAGGAATAACCAAATCCCAACTCTTCATGTGATTTCCAACTAGACATCTCAGAAAATTTCGCAACCTTCTATTAATAGATTCAGTTTGGCCATCTATTTGAGGATGATAAGTGTTGGGATATTTCAATTCAGTCCCCATTTTCCTCCATAAAGTCCTCCAAAAGTGCCCCATAAACTTAAAATCCCTATCTGAAACAATTGAAGAAGGTACACCATGTAATCTCATGACTTCTCCATAGAATAAATCAGCAATATATGTACCATCAGAGGTTCTGAAACATGGAATAAAGTGTGCCAGCTTTGAAAATCATTCACCATAACAAAAATAGAATCATATCCCTTTGCTGTCTTTGAAACTCCCGAGAGAAAGTCCATGCTCAAATGAATCCATGTAGCTTTTGGTATTGGCAAAGGAGTATACAAACCATTGTTTTATTTAGTACCTTTGCTGAATTGACACCCAGAACATCTTTTACCAACGTAACTGCATCTCTATACACTTGTGGTCAATAATAACAATATATCACCATTGCCAAAATCTTGCCTCTACCAAAAGAACCACCTAATCCATTACCATGAAGCTCCAACATTATTTGTTCGCACAATGATCCCTTTGGAATACATAATTGATTGCCTTTGAATATATGACCTTAATGCAACCTATATGGTAACTGATCCAAACTTGTTGGCCCTTTTAATTTCTCCAAAATCAGTTTGAGATAGGGGTCTGTTTCATACTTAGTTTTGAGTTCATTGAACCCCGCAACTTGCATACTTATTACAGCTAATAGAGAAGGCTGCCTACTTAACCCAGGAGCTACTTTGTTAGATTCACCAGTCTTGTATTTCAAAGTAAAACTGTACTGATCAAGAAAAGAACTCCATTTAACATGACAGTCATTCAACTTCTTCTTTGAATTTAATTATTTTAATGCTTGATGATTATAATAAACTATGAACTCAAGATGCCAAAATAATGTTCCCAATGGTCATATGGTTCTCACCAATGCATAGAACTCCAAGTCATAAGTAGAATTTTGACATTTATCGTTGTTTAGTTTCACATGTAAGTAGAATATCATTTGATTTGACGTAGTTTGTGAATGGAAATCTGCTCAAAACAGCTAAGAACAGAAACTTAGGGCTAAAACTAGAAGAAAATTGAAGTTGGAACCAGAAAAATAGGTTCATGGTTTGTAGAAAACCTCTCAAATGTATAATGATTGATTATAATATAAAAATGTCTGAATAATAACCTATCAACCTTGTTTACTCTAGTTCTAGGACTAAATCCTAATCCTCATAGGAAAAAGAATCCTTATTGAAAGTTATATAGCTAATATAGATTCTAACTAGCATTATGATTCCTAAACTTAATTAAAAAAAAAAATGTAAAATCACTAAGGACAAATATTTATTCTTCCAAAAGCTCCTATGCCAGTTCCCTTAGGTTTTAAAAAAAACAAAAAAAAACAAAAACCCTTCAGTTGAAAACATTCTTTCCTTGATCTCTTGTGGATGTCCAACCAAGACTTGCCATCCTTTGTTCTTTCGAAACTTCAACTGTATGACAACATTTAATAACAGCCTTAGCTCCCTTAGGTTAAATGTAGCAATATGAACTCTTACTCATGATTTCACCTCTCATCCATTCGTCTTCAAAACAGTAGACTGTATGGCATGGATTTGCATCATCAACATGTCTTCCCAACTTAGAATCTTTGTAATATCCTATCCTTGAGATGGTATCATTCAGGAAGTAAAAAGAATCATTATAAGTTAACCCAGTGAATCTCTTTTGTGGATCTATAACTATGATATTCTCTTTATGCTCAACTTTTAGATTTTTAGTGGCATCATCATCATTGTGTTCATTGTTTTTGTCTTCTTGCTTATCATCAGAAGAAACATCATAAATTGGTTCTAAGATGCTACTCCTCCAATCTTCCTCTTCCTCATGGTCTGTGGTTATCACTTTTTGAATCTCCAAAGATTCCTTTGTTGGATAAATATCTTCTTCATTTTCTTCAACATACTCATCATAAATAGGTGATACGACATCATCTTCTTGTTCTTCTAGCTCAGGTAAATTCACCCTTAACTCTGACAATCATAAGAATTATGCCCCCTTTCTCCACAAGTGAAACATCAAATTTGGGAGCTGCTGCCAGCCTTAGGAAAAGTAGATCCAGAACTGTTTGGAGCCCCAAACCTCATCAAACGTTTCCTCTTTTCACTCCTATCAAGGTTGTCAAAGTCCCCCCCCCCCCACTAGGATGGCTGGTAATTGATGCCTTTTGACTGTTTCCAAGAGCTGTTTGGTCATCCTTAACACTCTGAACAGATCTAGCACTGCTTTGCACAATCCCATGGTCTTCCAAACACTGGCCTCCTGACACCATGTAACCATATCATCCATCAATGCATGCTGCCATGCATCTTCAAGACTAAATAATTGAACCGCTCCCATTTCATCCCTAATAGATTGATTCAAGCCAGCTAGATAGCACGACGTCGCTCATTACCTCATTCAGCCCTATGTGAATTGAAAGGTTGTTGAATTCAGTCATATACTCCTCTGCAGACATGCTTCTTTGTTTTAATAAATGAAATTTCCCATACAACTCCTTTGTTTAATCAGGTGGTAAAAATTGCTTGCACAATTTTGCTTTCATATGTTCCCAAGTGCTGCCGATTTTAGCCTTACCTTGCTGTGCGTGCTGCTCTTCAACTCTCTTCCACTGTTGAAGTGCAGCGCCCTTCAATTTAAGCTTAACGAACAACACTTTCCTAGCTTCAGCCATAGTTTTCCATTCAAAATAATTATTCAAGCTAGCTTCCCTATCTAAATAACCCTCTACATGAATCTTTTCATAAAAATCAGCAACGTCTATCTTAATTCCTCCATTCAGATCAAGGTCATGGGCTAAAACACTCTTCAAATCTACTTCTTACTCCAGCATCATGAAAAGGGTCTTTGTCCACCTCATCAACATGTTCACCTTCAAGATCACCTTCTGACATGTCCAAGGGGTTGTGGTTGCCTTCCAAATTCTCCATTTGGGCTCCCATGACAATTCTTCAATTTCTTGTCTCGGTGCAGCCATATCTACTCGGTGATCTTGATTTCCTCATCCACAACATCTAGCACATCCAGCCATGGTTTAGGATCAAAACCTAAAAAAATCTAGGATCTTTTATGGTCTGATACAAACTTGAATTAGCATGGGAAGAGAAACCCACTCAAAACAGCAAAGAACAGAATCTTTGGCTAAAACTAGAAGAAAATTGAAGTTGGAACTAGAAAAATAGGTTTAGGGTCTGTAGAGAACCTCTAAAACGTATAATGATTAAAAATAACATAATAAATGTCTGAAAAATAAGCTAGACAACCCTATTTATACTAATTCTAGGCATTAATCCTAATCCTTGCAGGAAAAGGAATCATTTTTTAAGGTTATAGGGCTAATATAGAATCTAACTATCATTGGGATTCCAACTAAATAAGAAAAGTAAAATAACCTAGGAAAAATATTTGGTAATCCGAAAACTCCTGTGTCATGTGATGCTGTTGAATTAAAATTATTGACCAATAAACATTGACAAACAAGATGATTTTGGCCTATTAAAGACCATATGTTGTTACCTGATTAACATTGTAACGAATTTATTAACACCTAGTTGTTAACTTGTATGTATGCTCACATGTGCCTCCTAATTGGTCCTTGACAGCGAAGGTGGCAGTAGGATCTTTTTTGTGAGGTGATATGAATATTTGATTGTTTCTATTAACATCTTTATGTTTTTATATCTTCTGGATTTTCTGCTTTGGCATTTCTAGGACTTGGATGACATGAATATTGAAATTATGAGGAATACCCTTTACAAGGCATATCTTGAGGATTTTTACAGGTTTTGTCAGGTTAGCTTACCCACAAGAAGGATAATGAAATCTCTTTCTGGTATATATGAAGTTCTGCCTTTTGCTCTTTTCTTATAAACTTAAACTTAATGTGATCTTTGACTAGAAACTTGGAGGTGCCACAGCTGAGATCATGTCTGACCTCCTCTCCTTTGAGGCTGACAGAAGGGCTGTCAATATCACCATAAATAGGTTTGTTAGTGTTCCCAGTTTTTTTTTTTTTTTTGGGGGGGGAGGGGTTAACTGTTAAATTTACCTTCCATCCATTCTGATGTCATTGTTCCCAGTTTTTTTTTTTTTTTGGGGGGGGAGGGGTTAACTGTTAAATTTACCTTCCATCCATTCTGATGTCATTGATTTGTTTGCTATGTTCAGCATTGGCACTGAGCTGACTCGGGAGGATCGTAGGAAGCTGTACTCAAATTTTGGCTTGCTGTAAGCTATTTTCTGATGCTTGATTCTTGATGTGCCTTCTATAATTTCTGCTGTTCTGTAATGCGTCACTCTGATGAGCTTGTGCTTTCATTGAACAGTTACCCCTATGGACATGAGGAACTTGCTGTCTGTGAGGATTTGGATCAGGTCTGTTATGGATTTATGAATGATTAGTAAGCTGTTGTTAAATGGGGTCTTATATAGAACTGAATGATTATGTGGATTGAAATTACCTGCTTGGTTGTTTTTGGAATGGTTGGCTTATGTTAATGATTATTCATTTTGGAAGATACATGTAAATAAACATGTTTATAGGAAATCCTGCCATTCATTTTTGTTTCAATTCAATTTTCATCAAGGCCATGTTGAGATCTATTTGATGTCTCTGTGTTACTCGGCCAAATAGTTGTGCTCTTATTGGTCTTTGAATCTTTCAAGAAGAAACTTGTAACATTAATTTGTTTTCAAAACTTTGTAAGGTCATATAGTGAATTTTTTTCAACTGTCTTTGTGATCATTTGATGTGATGAGTGGGTAAAATGAAATTATGAAGGATTTCTCTATAAATAGTTGCTTGACACAAGTGTTTTTGTCTTTGACTTGTTTTTGCTTTATTTCCTAGAATGATGTATATAACATATATCGTGATTCTGGGTCTTCTGGTTGTTTGCCATTGCAGGTTCGTGGTGTCATGGAAAAATATCCTCCTTATCAGTCAATCTTTGCCAAGTTGTCGTATGGTGAGAGTCAGCTGCTTGACAAAGCATTTTACGAAGAAGAAGTGAAGAGGCTGTGCTTAGCTTTTGAGCAACAGGTTTGTACTGGTGGCTGAGTAGGGCATATACACTGATTCCATATTCTAAGATGACCCCCTCTTTTGGCCCCATCTATCTTGTCTGTTCAAAGTAGATTCATATATTGCAAGGAAGAGCATGGCTTATTTTATGGCTCCTTTTGTTTTTTTTTCTGTAGTTTTCAATTTGAGCGTTATATTGCAAGGAAGAGCATGGCTTATTTTTTATGGCTCCTTTTGTTTTGTTTTTTTTTTTTTTTTTTTTCCTGTAGTTTTCAATTTGAGCGATTTTACATTCTGGAAACAGTATTTTGCTCATGAATAACCCTCGATTTTACAACAATTCTCATCTATTGATTTTTTTTCCTTAAAAAGAACCTAACTGAAGTAGCCCTAGCATGCAGTGGCATTCATATAGTCCCCTTCTCTAGTTCATTTAATTCCTGCTGTCCTCTTTTGCGTCATGAATTGCTTTATGTCTTCTTTGGTCTGCAGTTCCATTATGCAGTCTTCTTTGCATACATAAGATTGAGGGAGCAGGAGATCAGGAATCTGATGTGGATATCTGAATGTGTGGCTCAGAATCAGAAGTCTAGAGTTCATGACAGTGTTGTCTTCATATTTTAGTTGCTTTACAGGCCATTAGGAATGAAACATGTGGCCTTTTTGGATAATCCACTGTAAATTGCCTTTCCATGACGCTGTTGATGATCAGCATGCCTAGTTATACTGTTTGGAGATGTGGGTTAAAATAAGTGGTGAAATATGTTTTATTTGTATTCCCAAAATGAAAAATACTTTATTTGTTATTCGGAGGCACAAATAATGTATCAGTATTCAACAATATTAATGGTTGTGGAGAAATGACTTTGTTTAGCATGGTGCAAGACGACTGATACTTATGCTATAGTTGAATTTCTGATGTTTGGAGTTTATAGTATCTTTTTAGTGGGAGGAGGAATTATACAAGTAATTCAAACTTGCATGAATGAATGGAGGATTTGAGCATCTGTGGATAAATGAGGATCCACTGCGTTAAAATGGGTACGGCCATTGGATTTCTTGACATGGACAAGAAATGAGTATCTAATAGATATTTATTATTTATTAATTAATAAAAAATAATACATATATATACATATATACTTAATATAATAATTTCACCTTAATATTGAAAACAATTACATAAATAATATTTATTATTTAAGATATATATATATATATATATATATATATATTAAACAATAAATATTATATATGTAATTGTTTTCAATATTAAGGTGAAATTATTATATTAAGGAAAAAAAATTAAATATTCTATAAATATATTTATATAATACAAGTATATTCAATCCAACTTGTACTTTACATTCGATTCACCTGCTTCGTAGCCTAACCTTAATTTTCAAATGAGATTACCTGCAGTAGCGACTGCTAGGTCACAAAGGAAAATGCCCGGAAAATTACCTTCTGTACTAAAAGAACTCCTTCACTGTCTGTTAACAAAAAAAAAATTATTAATTTTTTTTAATTTTATTCTCTAATTTTTTATAAATTTTAAATTATTTTTTATAATTTTTTATAATTTATTTATTATGATATTATTATTATTTCAAACAAAAGCTCTCAAAGCTGGTTGATATTTAATTTTTTGAGCATCTATTGTAATTGAATTCTTTGTAATCTTTTATTTTTTAATTTTATTTTTTAATATTTTATTGATTTTGAATTTTTTTTTATAATTTTTTTTGGTTTATTTTATATAAAGTTATTATAATCTCAAACAGATATCTCGATATTTAGTTGGTGATCAATTTTATGAATATTTATCTTTGTTATTGTATCATCAAGTAAAAAATAGTTAAAAAAATAAAGTTGCTAAACTTCATGGTGTTCATGATCTAAATTGCAGGTTTGATAGGTTAAGCTGTGAAACTTGAGTAAATTTAATATATTATTGTCTCAATATTGAAAAAAAAGATGTCATCTTGAATTTTTTCAAAGTCAAATTATTTTTTTTACTTGTTTGGATTCTTTTTAGATAAGCCAAGTCGACTGAGCCATTTTAAGGCAACTTATATCCAGGTTAATTTTAAATTCAAATTAGACAAGAAATTTGGTTTGGAGGTTTCTAGGTTGACCCACTCAGTCAAGCTTTTTTTAAAAAAAAAAACTCCATTTTTCATTTTTTTTTTCTTTTGATTGAATTTTGTTACTTTTTTTATTTCAATTGCATTCTTCAAATTTTGGTTGATTTGAAATTTATTTTCATAATTTTTTTTAATTTGCTTTCTAAGAGGTTATTACAATTTCAAATAAATATTTTATTATTTGATTGAAACTCAATTTTATGAGTGTTTTGCTTTATTATCATATCATTAGTTTAAAATAAAAATTTAATATTGTTAAACTTAGTGGAATGCATGATCCAGGTTATGGGTTTAGCAAGTTGAATTATAAAACCCAAATCAATCTAATATATTTGTCTCAATATTTAAATAAAAGTATGCCCATCTTTAATTTATTTTTTTAATCTAAACTATGCTTTTTACTAATCATTTGTGTTCTTTTAGATTTGTCAAGTTAATTGGGTCATGTTAAGATAACTTTCATGCAGGTTAATTAAACAATTGATTGATTTATATTTGAAGATCAATTACAATATATAACAATTTTTCATAATCCCTCAAATTTTAAAAAGTCATACATGATTTGACTTAACATTTCAATTATTAGTTTCTCGATGTAATTATTATCTCTTTATCAACAATATTATGGTTTATATATTATAATGAGGAGTGTATCCACTTTATCAATTATATTTTTTTTCAACACTATAATCATTAACTTTTAAAACAAGATCTGAAACTCTTTTAAAATTTTATTTCATTTTGCATAAAGATTTACAATCAATACTATTTGAGAACAAATGAAACACTTTTCCTAATTCATTTAAGATGATGAATTCTCTCTTAATTACTTAAATACATTAATATAGTTAATATTATACATAATATTTGTCTATTTGTTACCCTTATTTAAGACACATGTAGCATGATCAAAACATAATATTTTATAAGTAAAATAACTTAGTGATATTTGCTCTACAAATCACTTACATAGACATAACATTAGTTTTTTTATAGACATAAATGATATTTTCATATGTAATTCTCATGTAAGTCAATTTAATATACATGTCATCTTATAAGTACTAACATATTAGTTTTAGGCATTCCTCATATCTCAACTTATAAGAACAACTGTTTCCTTTCATAAAAAATAGCATAATATATATTAGTCCCAACAACTTTAATTGATATTTAGTTTTAATAAAGCATTAAACATAAACATTTATTAACAATGCTTTGATGTAATGAAATTTTTATAATTATAAAATTTATTTTTACTTTATATTTATTAATTAAATATTAGATTCATACATTAAATATTTGATGAATATTAAAAATAAATAAATTTTTATTAATAAATTAAATATATTTACATGAATAAAGTCAATGATATATATAACTACTCGATTGATTACAAAACATATAAACTAATAAATGTGTCATTTGTTTTATTTTTTTCAATAAAATATATGCCCCTTGGTTTAGCAAACAAACAAAAAAAAAACACTCAAAGATATCTCCTGATAGTTTGTGTGTGTGTGTCCTTATTTTTTAATGGACAAGACTTATTGTCAGCCCATGTTTGAGTGCTAGATTTTTTATAATCTTTGTTTTTTAACCTTTTATTTTTTTATTTGTTTTTGGTATAAATTGAAATTCACTAAATTAGATTAGTTAAATATATGTGTAGGATGTCCAACCTTGTGGTTTTTAATTTTATTTGAGATTAATTAAGATAATTATTATTCTTTTAAAAAAATGATATTTTTCAATAAAATATCTATTGATTTTTACTTTTTTTTTAAATAAAATTATACTATTTTTTTTATAATATTAACAGGTGTTTTTTTTTTCTTCCCTAAATATTTTTTCTTGTATATATTTATTTTTATTATTATTTAATTAAATAAAAATATAATCTCAAAAACATTTTATCAAACACAACCTGGCTTATAAACATATTGCATAATATATCTTTCTAATACAGTCGTAGTTGGAATTAATAATTTTTTTATTTATATATACATTTAATGATAAATCTAAATTTAAGTTACAATTTAAATTTTTTTATATAAAAAACGTTTAAAACACTTGCAATTTCATTATTTGTTTTCTTAAATTAAAATTTGATCTCAAATGCTGCGAAGCGTGGGCCAAGCCCACTAACGAGTCCATCTCTATTCAAATGCTGCGAAGCAGTTACATCTGTTCATCATTGAATGTAATTTTATTTTAAGAAAAAAGAAAAAAGAAGAAGAATTGAGACACGCAGAAGTGAAAATCTTAAAGGTTCAGACACAAAATAGTTGCCTCTTGCTTCTGTTAAAAAAAAGAAAAAAAAAACAGAGGGAAATCAATCACAAGTTTTCTGTGTGCACACTAACAAGAAGGAGAGCCGGCTTTGCTAATACCAATCTTGATTTTGTTAATCTTCTTTATGCCAAAAGAAAGCTGGAAAAAATGGAAGCAGAGCCATCAAGCACAACAGCAACAACCAGGATTACGGATTTGAACGAGGACTCACTGGCTCACTGTGCCACTTACTTGTCCCTTCAGGACATCTCCAATTTAGCCACGACCTGCAAATCCCTCAAACGCGTTGCTTATTCTGATCCCATCTGGCAACACCGCTTCAGGTTTCAAGAATCCATTTCCCTTTTCTTCTTTTTATTTACAGCTTTTGTTTGTTTGAATGAATGCGTACATGCAGGGAGCATTGGCCAGACGAATTGTTACAAACTTCAGGGTTGAGAGAGGCATATCTAAAACGACGTGTTGCGGTTCAGCAATTCAAGTTTGTTGATCCTTTGGTTGCTGACTTGTACATTACAGATGCCAAACCTTTTGATCATATCATTTTGGACAAGAATGATATTACCTTTTCCCAGGTATATTAACCCATCACTGTTTTTTGTTTTTGTTTTTGGGCGGTGGGGGAGGGGGGGGCGCTGTAATTATGAGTGTTATCAACCCCTTTTTTTTTTTTTTTATGACATTCATTGTGTTGTAACCTTTTCTTGGTTGTTTAGGGCTCCTTGGTACAAATGACAAATATTGACAGCTTTTTAAATGGAAGAGACGGTGTCACAGCGCTGAGTGATCATAATGCAAGAATCACTTGTATGAGGTTAGACTTTCTGATGGGCTTTCTTTTGCCATTTCTAAACTTGTTCCTGGGTACATTTGAGGAGCTGTTTTAAGTATGCTGGGCAGCTAAAAAAAATACTAGGGAATATAAGAGAAATTAAAATGAGGAAATCAAGTATCTTTTGGTTGATTTAAGAGAAGCTAGAGAAATCTAGTTTTCTTTGTTTGGATATATTGCTGGAAAAGAAAAGAAAACAATTTTTTAGAGGATATAATTAGCAAAATTCTGTCAAAGATTTATTTTCTCCTTATTTCCCTTCCTTTCCTTTGTTTTCTTTACAATTCATAATTTCAGCATCCAAACAAATGAAGGTGACTTAATTTCCTTTACTTTACTCTCCTTTCCATTCCTTTCCCTCAAAACATAAACAGAGCTAGAATCTGTATTGTTGGGTGGGCTGAAGTGTTTCTTTGGATCCGACTGATGCAAGGAATATTAGTGTGTGACGAGGAATTTGGTTTGTGGGTGTAAATAGAGAGGAGTGAGTTTGGATAGTTGGAATGCTTACTTGGAAATTTTATTGTTATGCTAACGTTCATTTTAACTGAACTGGAGTTTTGTGCGATTGTTTTTTGAGATATGAAGAATGATGTGTGCAGAATGTTTCCCCTTAGTGAAACCTCTCTCTTTCGAAGTGAGACACAAAGGAAGGAAAATGTTTTGGTAACCTCAAGTTGTGACCATTCAATTCGTCTCTGGTGGAAGGTACACATGAATTTTGATGTTGCTAATTTTTCATCAAAGTGAGACTGTTCAATTTGTAGCTCTCTTGTTACCAAATTCTTACTAGGTCATGCATGCTTTCAACTGATCAGAAACTTTAGGACAACATAAATTATCAGTAGTTCCTGTTCTATGCTGGTTTTGTAAGTTTCTATTGACAAACAGAGGAATGTTTTGTCGATTTTACATGATATTGTTTTATTGGTCTCGTGCTTTTCTGTAGGGTTCTTGCCAACAGTGTTTTAGAGGTCATAACGGTCCTGTTTTGACCTTGTCTGATAAATTATTAGGCGATGGCAGTGCCAAAGTATTGGCGAGCGGTGGGGAGGATGGTACAGTTCGACTTTGGTCCCTCAGTTCAAGTGGAAAGCGTGGCCAACATACTTTAAAGGCTACACTTTACGGACATGAAAAGCCTATTAAATTGATGTCAGTTGCTGGGTATGAGTTGGTTTCTTAATATAGCATCTAATGAAAACTAGAAGAAATTAAAGTTTTAGCCTTTTGTTGTTTTCACTAATATCTTCAAAGTTGTTCAGTCTTGTTAACTTGCTACTATGAAGATTGGAGGGAGGAAACAAATTTGCAAATCTTTTTCTTTCAGTTTTATTTTTTAGTTCTTCTGATTTCACTGAATCGTGTTGAGGTTATCATGCCTTTAGAAGAAGAAGAAGCAACTTCTAGTCAGTTAACATTTATATATATTTTTTAACACTGAAGAAAGGGGATGCATTCTCCTATTTGAATTTAATTTTGATCATTGCTGTATTCATGGTTGATTTTCTCTAGTAAGAAGTGATAGCTTCTGTGAAAATTGACTGGTTTGAGGTTCTAGTTTTGACCAAATATAACCTTTGGTGGTTTATTTCTCCTTGTTAGTGGTTTGATTTTATGGCCTGTGCCAGTTTTACTCACAAAAATTATCAGTTTCATAGCTGAAAAGAAAAGTTGATAGATTACATGGTTTAATGGTGTTGTGCTTTGTTTTGGTGACTGAAAAGGATCACATATGGTTTAGTAATGAGTAACCATCCAAAGTTCTTGAAAGCTTTTGGCAAACATTATCTCTATTTATCTGGGTTCACAGCAACTACTTCGTGTGGTGCCTAGCATCTTATTTATCTTCTCCCATAATGACACTAATCCATATTTCCTTCAGGCACACAACATCTCTTTTGGCAACCATCTCAAAAGATTCCAAGGTACTCTTTTTTCATCTTTTGAGTGCCTCATTGTCTGAATTATTATTTCACCTGTCTAGATTGCATAGACAAGTTCTGTTTTTTATTTAGTTGTCCTTTCAAAACTATGAGAGTCATAAGTAAGCTTGAATTTTGCAAATATGGACAAGGGGACGTGGTTGAAGAATGTTTGAAACATCAGGGACATAATTGGAAGATCTTTCTTTTGGGATGTAATTGAGAACTGGTTAATAGGTTATGGACAAAATATAGGTTCCCCTAGAAATCGTTTTCACCCTAAAGCCCTTTAGAACAACATTTTAATGTTGATGCATAGTGGCCCACTCGAAACTGAAAAATACATTTTTCCTGCCCCAAAATACTTAAGCTTAGGAGTACGCAAAAAATTGATACAAATTACTATATGCGTCAGTGTAATGGATGGCAACTGTGTGCGCTAATACTGCCTTTTGAATCTTATTATTGTCTATGGCCTTGTGGTTTTCAACTTCTTTGCAAGTGAACAATATAATCTTTCTCACTGAATTCTGTAGTTGGTACCTGTTATATCTAATGCTTATGGTCAAACTGGTGGATGCCTCAGGTGAAATGAAGATATTTTACGAAGGATTTTGTTCTGTTAGGACAAGCAGCTATTTTAATATACTGTAGGGTTGTTGAACTTGTGGCAGTTCATTGTTCCAAATTTTTATTTTTGGTGAATCCTGTGGCGTAAAAAATAATCAGGCTTGCCCCTGTTTGTTGATGTTCTAGATGCATATTCTGATTAGTGCATGGACTGGTACCAGACATGGATTGCGATGTCACCTAAAACATTATGATGGTTATCCTGGGAAATATATCATGTTTCAACTTGGTAGAAAATGGCCCAGCCCATAATTTACTTAGAATCTTTGATTGTTCTGCTGTTTTGTTTTCTGGATATTGATTGATCATTGATGTCTCTGGTGATCCTAATAGGTTAGGGTTTGGGATACCACAACATCATCTGCTGTTCGTTCGTCATGCTGTGTTGGAATGACTTCTGTGCCTGGCGCACCCGTTGATGTGAAGTGCTGTGAATCATTGTTATATGTGGCTGCTGGTTCCTCTGTCGTAGCAATTGATTTGAGGACAATGCAAAAGGTTACCACTGTTGCTATCTACCAACCAAAACTGTGTTCATTTTCCATTGTGCCTTCAAAGCCCTTGATCTGCACTGGTGGAAATGACAAGTAAGGCATTTTATGGAAAGCATTCATTTACCTTTTACAAGTTTGTTAATAGGCTGTTGTCGTTATTCAATTAGGTGTCAATGCTTGCTTGTGACAAACTAAAAAAATTTTGTGCTGCTTACACCACACTGTATTAATTCATTTTTCTTTGGATGGCCAAGTTTTCAACTCCCTAATGATCTGTGACTTATGCTGTTTCTTTTGAACCCAAAATGAGATTCTTATATAGCTTGTTGGCTTCTTTTGTTTTTTAATGGGTCAGCCCATGCAGTAGAGACTATAATAATCAAATGCTACCTCCTCACTTTGCCATATTCATAGCACCTAATATGTGTGCCATGTTGTGAATCTTTATCTGTTGAAAACTTTTTAATACTGCAGAGCCAAGCTTTGGGATATAAGGATAAACCAAGAGACTCTGAAACCAGAACCAGTAGCTGAGTTAGATGGGCACACCGGTCCGGTGGCAATGGTGCACATGGATCCATACAAAATAGTTACAGGGGGGCCTGGGGATTCTTACATTAATGTTTGGGAGACTGACACTGGCGCACAAACAAATTCCTTTATTTGCTGTCCTTCTGATGCTGCAAGTAGCAGCTCTGGCATGGGGTGTTCAGCCATGGCTGTGAATGGGACACGGATTGTCACTGCTAGCTATGGTGAAGAACATGGACTGTTATGCTTCAGGGACTTCTCCAATGCTACCTGTGCTGTTTCAAAACGTGAAGATGTGCTTGCTTCCAAGTTTTGGGATCCACAATCTTATATCCATGGTGATGCATTTAGCTAGATAGATGAGTGGATTTTCTCTCTTAACTCAGCAAGAGGTTTTGTTATCAAAATGATTCTCTGATTTGTGCTTAGGTCATTGGTGAGCTTTTCTTGTGAATAGAAGAAATGCAATGGGGTTTGTTTAATGTAGTGATGCAGGACAGCCCTAGGGGCTGTTCCGAATACGACTTTTAGAGGCTGTTTTAGGGCTGTAAGAACTGGTTTTACGTTGATTTGTGATGGAATATGAGGAAGGATGCAGATGGCCTCTGGGAGTCTCACCAGAGTCATGCCTCCATGAAACAAAACAACGTTGAATTTAAAGTGTGAGTAATCCATTTAATGTGATGCATTGGCACAGATGCCTCCTCACGTGATGTCCCTGTGATAATTTTTCCTCTGCATTTGTTTTTGCTTCTGCTCTAGCAGCTGTGCTTTCAAGCAGAGCTGTGCCAGGCAGATTTCTTTTTTTCTTTTTACTGATTAATGAAAACATCACGAATGCTACAATGGCAGCAGTGGTAATTAACTCAATTTGCCGGCCATTCATTTCAGGCGTGTATTCGCCATCTTTTGGTTTAAGAAAATGGAAGGCACGTTTTACAAATCATGGCTGATGGAATACGAGAAGGAGGACTTCTTCACTGCATTTCCTTTCCTTTTCACTCTTCTCTTTTGAAGCTTAACCCTTTCTTCTCTACTTGTGTTTGAAGGTGATAACTCACTGTGCGGTATGGCTGCCATTCTCTACTGGGGCCACTCGCTGTCGTGATCTATGATATTATTTTACCAGCATTTGACAATCTACTCTACTTCATACCCTTTTCTTAGATATTTCTATTTCCTCAGCAGATATTGTAGGAACCACACTGATGCATCAGTATTTATGGCCTTTTGTTTGATTCTTCAAAATTGCTTTTCAAAAAGCTGTCTTTGAGAGGGTTGTAACCTATTGTTCTTGGACTTTAACTAAATGCTATGCCTGGATGCTTGTAGTCTGGTGAGATAGGGAATCTATCATCCACGATGGGCTTGAGTAAGACTCGGCCGAACGTTGAGTTGAGTTAAGATATTTTTTAATGGATCAAATATATTTTATTTTGATAAATTAAATATATTTTATCTGACATGAATTTAAATTAAAATGTGCCAGATTTAAATTTTTTTCTCGTCGCTTTAACCATAACAATTCTACATTTAAAGAAAAACCTTTACTCAGAGGAGTAGTTGATTTTTCCTTACCTAATTCTAATTTAATTATCAAAAAATCTTTAAATAGGTAGGAAAAAAAACCATTTATAGGGAGGGATTTTCATCATGAAAAAGTGAATTAAATTATCAAAAACAAGAAAATTAATAATTTTATCTCTGATCCAATTTCTATCTTCGAATCTACACTACTGGATTGAAAATGACCTCATCACATTTTATATGTGATATCCATCCTTCTATATCTTCATGTCTTTATTAAATAAGCAATATAATTTTAATGGGTGTAATTTAATTATTTAGACTTTAATTTTTTTTTTTTAAAAATTACTAGTTTAAATATCATAAATTTTAGAATCATTAAAATTTATATAATTATCAACTTTAAAACCTCGAAAAATTAGCCTATATATTTATACAGGACACCCGCAATTAAAAAAAAGACATGAATTTATCATCCAGAAAATCAAATCCACCGATGAACCAATTATCCACTCGAGCACAGTGCAAACTTAATAAAAACTTGCCTTGCTGAACTCTTCTGACAGCTCATACAATCCCAGCCTAGTTGGTAAGTAGAGGCAGCAATGGAAGGTGACAAATCCTTCAATGAATGGGAACAAATCCAATGCCCAACAAATCAATTAAGAGAATGGGAAATGGTTGCTTTTGGAGACAACAAGAACCATCTTCAGGCCGACCCCTGTATCTTCCCTCCAAGCAACCATGAAGGCCTTCAAATCCCACAGCCACCACCGGAGTCACAAACTATTCCTGGCCAACCATGTTCAAGTGCTGAATGTAATGTGAAAGCTGAGAAAATAGCCGGGTCTGACTCCATGGCGCCACAAGTGGAGCGAAATGGAATTGGGAAGCTTTTAAGGTTCGGGGGATTTTGGATAGCAAGCAGAGTTCATTATTATGTGATTTACAGAGGTGGGTTTCGCTCAATTGCCTCGCTTACTGTATTGGTAGCAGCAGTGTTGCTATTCTCCAGGTTCCAAAGGTGGAGTAAATGGATCCAGGAAGAGAGAAAGAATCATCTCATCCTTCGTCTCAGAGAGAAAGACCAGGTTCCCCTTTCTCCTCGTTTTTTCTTGAATTTCTAAGCATATAGGATGCCTATTTGCATTAGTTTGGAAGCAGCATACCTAACCTAAATCGCGAGGCCCTGTTGCTCGGATTCACTACTAAGAATAAAGAATAATGCAGGGAACTTGCCACTTTTTTTGTTTTTTGCCGCATGCCATTAGTGGGGAGTGGTGACAGTAAAGAAACCTAGGAATTGGATGCTAGATTCATTAGTGAGAAAAGCTAATGTTTAGTAGGAGTGGCTATTTATGAAACACACACATTTTGGCTATCCTCTAGACAATATTTTTGGCTTTGCAAGCAAAATTCATAGCTGGGTAAGTACTCCTAAAGAACACATGGTGCTGTGAAGTTGTGCTTTCCGTACGCATGCTTTCTTACATGCTTGATTGCCTTGACATGATTAATATTCTGCAGACTATTAGCCAGCTCTCGCTCCAAATTGCACAAATGAAAGAAATGTTATTGTCGCGTCGCAAGGTTGCAGTCATCCGAGTTGGTTGACTGATCGATCTTACATGAAAGCTGACGGTACGTAGTTCAGGAATTCTCCACAGCTGCTTAAAAAATTATGTGAAGAGGAGAAACGAGTACTGATACATGAGCGTGCGTGCTGCTAGAATCATGAATATTGATTTGCTGAGTGGACTAGTTTCAATCAGCTCCTTCAGTTGGATATAAGCAACTATGTACTGTCCAAGCTTGTTTCATCGATCATTTTTAGTTACCTGGGCTCTTATCATCAGCAAACAGTTTCAAATTTCAAGAATGGAAGAGTGCTTATAGGGTCTAATATGTTTTATGATCACTTGTTCAAACTTGTTTTATCCAATCCCTATGTATCGTATGCAACCAGGACACAGAGATAAGTAAGTAGCTCACATTTAAACGGCAGGAAATACATAGAATTACCTCTCCATCGCTGTGCATTCCAGTTCCATCTCCCTAGCATTGGCTTCATGTTTAATGCTGTCATGTGTTAAGAAGACGACTACTGCAAGTAATGAACTTGGATGTAGTTATAAAAATCAGACATTTGCAAGATCAACTAAATGCAAATTCAGTGATAGTTTGATTTTCTTCGCATCCCAAAACTCTTAATATAAATGCAAATTCAGCATCGGAGTTTTTTTTTCTTATGATAACTGCAGTGTCAGTTTCCTTAAAATCTCTTTGAGCCAACTTTTAGAACGGCAGTAGTTTTGGAGATTCTCTCCTTTTCATCAATTTTTTCCTTATTCAAATATGTTTAAATAATATATAGAATTTGGTATAAATCGTTATTTAAATTTGATATTAAAATATTTGCTCACTAGTTTTCACTAGTTTTATGTGATTATATATATTTCTTGAATCATAGATGAAGCTGAAATTTTACAGGAAAATACTAGACACATGAAATTATGTTTTGGTAAATTATTAGGCTAGTGTTTAGAAATAAATTATTTCAGATGATCAAAGTTATTAAACGAGTATTGTTAAATATGTTAGACTAGATCTTCATATACTGTTTAAGACAAATATAAAATTACATGTAGAATATTATTGTGATTTAATTTGGACTGGAAATTACATCTCAAGCTTTTCAACCATATATAATACGCTCAATGATTTATCCATACGAGAGAAAATGAAGTGTTTAAAGTCATGATTGAAATATGCCAAAAATATACGGAAATTGAAAATTCGGGTTATATTAAGAAATTTTAGCATAAAGACTTTGGTTTTTTATCTATTTAATTTATTTATTAATAATTATTTTTAATTTGGGTTTATTCTAGTTATGTTAGTTGATTATTAGTTTAGGTTCATTAACTTATAACCCAAAAGAGATCCATTAATAATAGTTAAAGGAGACTATTTGGGTAACAAGTTCAAGAATAAAAGTGAATTTTTTTTTTTGGCAAAACAATGCTTTTTTATAAGAAAAAAGATCATATATTGACTTATCAAAAATTAACCGGTTTCGTGATGTCATTCACATATTTATGATTTTTATATACAAAGTTATCTTTGAATCCAAGTTCTTTTTCAATGCCTTGGTTCTTAGATGCATAATTTACCTTTTGGTCAAGATTCTATCAAACTTGTTTTTTAACTTTCTAAGTTATTATTTACTTTATTGGGGTCGATTGACCATGTGATCAAGAAGTCTGCATCAAAAATATATTTATATAATATGAAAGTAACTTCTATATATAAAATAATTTATTATATATACAATTTAATATCTATAATACAAACTCACATTTAACTACATTATAATTCAAAAAAATAAAAGATTGGCTGAATTCATTACATGTTCCGTCATAAATTATTGTTTACTAGAATAGTGATTTGGATTTTTTTAGCTATTTATTTTTTTAATTAGGTATTTACGAATTAGGTTCAATAAGAGTTCAAGCTCATAATTTATTTTGAATAGCTTCCTATAAAATTCTTGAGATAGATGTTTCGACATTAGATTAATGTTCTATATGGAAAGATAAGATTAAGTTTTGTTGGCTAACAAAAATTGAAAATTTAAAGATCAAATTCAATAATAAAACAAGCATGCATCCCGTTTTATATCACTATATTGTCATCATCTTTTCTTAAAAATTTACCTTAAGAATTTTTTTACAATTTTTTTTTGGTACTTGTAATTTTTCTATTTTATGTTTTAGTTTAAAATTTCATTTCTTTACATATTAGTCCCTAGATTTAAGGGAGTAGATAGGGTTATTGAAAAATATCAGAGGAGAGAAAATATTATTTTGGCCATATTTCAGCGATGGAAAAGGTCATTCTTGATGCTAAAAGGTTTATTTTCTCTCGAAAAGTTCAATGGTGGTTATGTTTTTCTATAAACATGTTGAAAAAAGTATATTGATGTTTGTTATTTGTTTTTCAATTTAGTTGATTTTTGTTTTAAAAAATAAGTTTATCGTGGTTCTTTGGATGTTTTAAAGTATTATCATGTGAAACAAATCTAAAAATTGGTTTTTAGGGTCAAAACATTTGGACCTTGATTTTTTTACTATCTTTGTGATGGTTAAAAACTGAAATTTAAGATGATGCATCATTTG